CTAACATGACCCAGTCAAGGATGGACAATCCAGAATTGGCCTCAGACAATGCAGACAAAATTTTCTTTGTGCTTTCATGCAACTTCAGATAGCGTACAGGCTTTCTCTTTTTTGGTTGCTTATGCTTGATATTGGAGTTATTCAGAGGATGGTTTGATTGTTGTATTTGTTGACTCGGATTGTTATTGGAAACCGATGAGCTATTGAGCGGTACATTGTGTGCATGATGAAGTGGTATATTATGTAAAGGATAACCACTCGGGTTTTGATTCCCAGGTAGGGTGTTTCCACTTGCGACCTGAGGAATACCAGCCCCTATTTGCTGACTTGAATTTACTGGAAGGGACGTATTTTGAGGAACTTGAATAGGAATTTGAGCATTTTCTTCCCTTTCTTCATCACCTTGCACAACTCTTCTTCTTTTTGGAATAGCACTCAGAATAGGCATTTTGGGGATTGAGTCAATGTAGTGTATTTGAGTATTTCTTATATTGGTACCAATTGAGGGATTTGTTTGTTTAAAACGCACATCAGGACCCTCAGAGCTCACTGATGCGCTTGGCCTTTTCCCGAATCTTGACCATTCTTTCCTTGAGTCTCTGCTTTAAGAATGGGACATTCAGCCTTTCTATGCCCTTCTTCTTTGCAATGGAAGCATGCCATAGCTTTCCTGACGTATGAATTCTTGTTAGCATGATTGACGTTTGAGATATTTTTGGTGGCATTTAACAAATTTATCTTCATCTCGCGAAATTCCTTGATCAATTCGCTCATGGCATCAGAGTTGATGGATTGAGTTGCAGCATTACGTTCATAGTTTTCTGTATGAGCAAAAGGATTAAAACTTCTTTCCGAGGCAATGCTTGAAATAGTAGGAATGTTTACAGAATTTTGGAGTTGATACTTTTTGAAGACTTTTTCTGCCTTGATAGCTTTGGCGATTACTTCTTGCAAACTTGTGTCTTCATCAATATCACTTCTTTCTACTTCAAGAGCTATTTCTGGGCGAATTGCTTTCAAAAAGGTACGCTTGATCATACGCTCATCACTGATGCCAACTAGTTGAAATAATTCTCGCATGCGGATTTCAATATCTTCCACAGTTTCATCTGGCTTTTGCTTCATGCCATGAATCTCTTCCCACCAAACCTCCATTTGGCCTTTACAGTATTTAGCCTTGAACGAAGTCTTGAATTCCTTCCATGTGAGAGTTTCAGGGTCTGGATGAGTCAAGTTGAACCAGCTGTTGGCCTGGTCTACCAGATGGTCGACAGCAATAAGTATGATGTTTTCATCGTCCAAATTTCCAAAACTTTTTATACGATCCAATTTTTTTATCCAATTGATGGGATTGATGCGCTTAATGTCACCAGTAAAATCAACAGGATCACTCATGAATTTCATGAGATAAGGTGAATGCATGTTCATATGATTTGTTGTCGAACTTGCAGTACGGGAGTTGCTTTCGTTCGAGTTGTTTGACATGTTGATAATTTTAATTGTAATTGCTTTCTTTTGTGTTATGACTGAAATATAGCTGTAATAGTGTCAAAATACCAGGATGATAAATTTCTTGTTTTTCCACTTTAGCCGCACCAAAAAATGTCAAGGTATAATGATAATTCAGTCGATATTTTGAAGGTGTTCTTTATTGTTTGCGAGTACGAGTCTTGATGTTGTCGGATCAAATGCGGATCAACAGAAAAGCCTATTTACAGAATGTAAACAGTCATGATCTCATCAAAGGATTTTCACTTACAAATCCAGTACAAATAATTCAAAATACAATTGACAACAAAACAAATAGAATATAAGATAAAAATAACTAAGGTACATGATAATGTTAATAAATGTTCCCAAAAGCATCCTTCTTCAGATAACTACCAAGTATGTTCTTTCCCAGAGCAACCAGTTACTAAGACAGGAGTTTTTACCAAGGACAGACCCCAATTAACAATATTGTATAGTAGCTTTCTTCTTTCTTATTTGTTTCTTTCCTTTTTCTTGTATACTTCAATTGACAGACAGATAAATCCAATCTTCCCAAGATTTTCCAGATTTCTTCTTCAATTAAGTAGTCAGAAAAATAACCTTTCTTCTTTTTTTATATATTTTAGATGATGATCCTGATGATTCCGATGATTCCCTTCATTGAAAAATATGTGATGTGATATTTATACTATTTTTTGACTAAAATATATGATTCGATAAAAATAAGAAATAAGAAAAATGTCAGTCGATTGATATTATCTAAAGTGTAAAGAAGAGATAGGGTGATTTTGTTTGATTTGTTTTCTGGGATGATAATATTTCGCTTAAAGGAATAACAATTAAGATTCGTCTTGATTCCATTTTGAGATTGATTGCTTCATGTGATTTAATGATCTTCTGAGAGTGATTGTGAGTTTTCATTTTAAAAGGCGTACCAATTATATTGCTTCCTGCTGACTTGGAAAATAAAAATTTCAACATTTTGACACTCACCAACAAACCTGTCAAAATGTCGTACCCAAACTTAGGTTTAAGCCCAATGTGAAGAAAGCAGCCAGAAGACACCAGCAGGTGCTCGAAGGTTCTGGAAATTATTAGTCAGATGTTTATCTGATTATCATTACCATATCTGGCATTTCCCTTATATGGTTACGACTTCAAATACTAGAAGCTGTGATGATCTGACATTAAATAAGTCTTCATTTACATACTAAAATACATCATAATCAATTTACATCAGAAATAGACATAAAAGAACCTCTTGTACTGAATAAGACAATGGATCTTTTAATAGATCAAGACTTATAACCGAAATCCATAATTTACATTATTTAATTAATTTAAAGTAGTCTATGATAATAGAGACTCAGTCATTTGCATGAACTCTACTACTACTTACTCCGACATCTCTTCATGTATAAATATGCTAGAATAATTTATAATCAAAAAGAACAACAATAAAATTGTATAGAACAGTCTCAAAGTATCTACCTTGGTCTCTATATCATCTTATTATATAACTCTATTATCAAAACATCACAGAAGCTTCCACTTGAGTCACAACTCAGACATTATAGATAGTATAAATATAAGTTGCATTCAATGAAATAAACATCATCTTTCAACACAAATATTAAGTATTAGTTACACTCTATAGTAAGTTAAGCTCTACAACTTATTATACATATCTCTGGTTATACTTTACAAGTTTTATTGGCTTTGCTACTTATTGGATCTATCTACAAAGACGACAACTGGTAGCATCAGGACACTAAAGCAAGTTATAAAGTTAATAGTTTAAGCAAGTCTCTCAAGGTTATTTTCTGGTTATTTTCAAAGTTTCAAAGGTTTAAAAAGTATCTCATTGGTTAAATTTTTCTGGTCTTTTCTGGTATTATGAGCGAAGATATTTCTATGACATCTGGTAATTCGTTTGGTTACGCTCGTAAGGTTCGTGAACCTGAGGTTTATAATGGTGAAAGAGACACTATCGCTGTGAATTCTTGGATTTACTCTTTGGAGTTGTATTTCTCCTTAGTGAAAATCGAACACCCACAAGAAAAGTTGTTGTATGCAGTCTCTTTATTGAGAAAGGATGCTCAATTGTGGTATTCACAGTTAAATACTTTCAATAAAGAGCATGTTCCTCAAGATTGGGACGAACTCAAGGTGGCTCTACGTACCGAATTTGTTCCCATTGATGCCATTGCGAAGGCTCGGGATAATATGGCTAGTCTGGTGCAAACTACAACAGTAAATCAGTATATCAATGACTTCCGTCGTCTGTTGTTGCAAATTCCTGATATGTCTGAGGGCGTTGCTCAAGACAAGTTTATTAGAGGTCTAATTAAGCCTCTACGTTATGCGGTCCGCTCTCAATTTCCCAAAACACTGGCAGACGCTCAACGTATCGCCTTGGCAATTGAAAGTGCAGAAGAGGGTGAGGTAGCTCAACCTATCAAGATGAGAACACCTCAACCTCAGTATGAAGCTATGGATCTGGACGCTATTCGTGACTTGGTAAATGCTCTCAACGGTGGTTCTGGTAGACGAATGGCTCAGTCTAAAAACGGTCGCCGTAACTTTAACAGTGGTAATTTCGCCAGAAATACCGATGTTCAATGTTACAACTGTAAAGGCTGGGGCCACATGCAAAGCGAATGTCCTAGTCCCAGGTCTAGTCGTGGTGGTGGTAATCGACGTTCTGGCGACTCTTTTAACAACCGTTTAAAAGAGTAAGCGTGTTTGACGGGGAGGGAGATCAAGCACGCTCTAAAACAAGATCCCTCAACAGTATTAAACAAGATAATACTGTTCCAACTAATAGTGATGATGTCGAGGATTTACTAGGACTAGATAGTGATCATGAAACAGATGACTTGAAATCAGACAATACATATCTGTTCAATCTAAAAAAGTCTAATAAAGCATCAACTGATTTGCCCCTGTACTCGTTTGATATCTTTACTAACGATGGTTCACGTAATTGCTACAAGACTATACAAGTACTTTTGGATACGGGTGCAAGCTCAAACTATATCAGTCCTACCCTGGTAAATCCTGCAACTATGAAAGTGACATCACTACAAACCAAGCACGAGGTGGAAACTGCTAACGGTCAAGTCTCAGTGATTAAAGATAAGGTTGAGTTCTCGGTGTCTGCAAATGGCGTTGGCCAACGGATTCAAGCTTATGTATTTGATACTAAGTTTGACCTTATCCTAGGTCAGCAATGGTTTCAGCAATACAAGCCTGTTCCCAACTGGTCTAATAGCTCTTGGTCTATCTCTGGTCCTTATGGTGTGGGTACAACTGTCTTATCCCCAGTTAACTTGGTGTCTAAATCTGAAAGTCTGGTGTACGTTATGAGCAAACGCCAAATGCAACGTTCATTACGCAAAAATAGCATAGACGAGTTATTCTTGGTACATGTGAAGGAATCTGGCTTGCACAACATGGTCGATACTGGCGATAATCTTGGCAAGGCTATCTCTAAGCTCTTAGCAGAGTATAAAGATGTTTTCACGGATAAGTTGCCTCCTGGTTTGCCTCCGGACCGTGGAATTGAACACGTAATCGAAACTGGTGATGCTGAACCAGTCTGCAAGCACCCTTTTAAGATGAGTCCTTTAGAACTAGACGAACTACAACGTCAACTAAAAGACTTATTAGACAAAGGGTTCATCCAGCCTAGTTCTTCGCCTTGGGGACTAAATAATAACTACTAAATATGAGACATTCTTTTGATTAATGTTTTTTTAATAACAATGCATACTTTTAATGTTGAAATTGAATTTAAGTATTCTAAAAAATATGAATGATATTATGTTATATAAAAATATAAAAAAAGTATGCAAATTTAGAATATAGGACCTGGAAATGTCACAAAACTTTCTTATTTATTATACAATGATTATTTTATATACCTGATATACTTGGATATACTATTATGAGTATGAATAAATATATATTTGTGATGAGAAAGCTATCACAATTTGTTTCGTGATTCAAAACTGAATAAATATTATATAATAAAAACATGGATCAATATATCACTAGTTTAAGCGATGATGATGTTAATAAATATAAATCACTATTACAAGAAGAAATTGATAAACTTATATTAAATGAATGGAGCTTTTTAAACGAAAATTGGAAGGAAAAATGTAATGATTTCAAACATAGAACAGAAATAAAAAGTATAAAAGAAATAGATGAAATAAAAAAAGAATTATTAAATAAATTAGGATTTACAGCTGTATTTTTCTTTTTGACAAAATTATATACTCATAAAGAATATCCTGCACCATATCTTGAAGTAGAAAAGGGATTATATTTAATCTATCACTTAGTATCTGGTATAACTAGCAAAAATATTAAAAGAAATCTACCATACTCATCATTTTATACCTTTTATAAAAATTTTTGGATTGAAAATTATAACAATTTAAATAAATATGTAGACATTTGTTTACAAAGTATGTTTTCAAATATTAAGATAAGAATTTATTCGGCTAAAATTAAGAATCCTATAAACTTTAAAAATATTACTTTATTATTAGATGGACACGATAGTACCATTGATTATTCAAAACCAGACGTATCACAACAAAAAAGATGGTCATATAAATTAAAAACAGCAGGATTAAGAACACAAGTTTTATCTGATATAAACAATATGGTAATAAATGTATCAAAAAGTGAATTGTGTGGTATTAGTAGTGATGGTGGGATGTTTTTGAATATGAAACTATATAATAAAATAGATAAAAGAGATGTTATTGCAGTAGATGGTGGCTATTCTCTATTTATCAAACAATTTGAAGATTTATGTAAAAATAAAAATATATTATTAAACGATGATAATTTCTTTTATCCTATTAGAAAGGAACCAGATATAGATATGAACGTACAAGAAAAGCATTTCAATGATGTGTTTGGAAGCTTTAGGTCTATAATAGAAAATCAGTTTAGTGAATTACATAATAAATATAAGAGATTTAGTAACAATAATGCAACCTTAAAGACAGATGATTTTAAATATGTAAATCTACAATTAAAGGTAGCATTTCTATTAAAAAATATAAAAGTATTTACTGAATCATTTAATATAATAACTCAAGAACATCACAAACTATGGATGTCACGTGACTTTGATTTTCCTACAAAATATAAGTTAGTAGATATAGTATTAAATAATGAAATTAATCAAATGGATAAAATAAAAAGAATGACTGAAATCCAAAACGATTTTTCTGATCTAAATATGAATGGTGATGATATGGTAGTAGATGATGTAGAGCAAGAAGAAATTACAAATAGTGATGAAGCTGTCGACTTTCCACAATATAATAATATAAATAAAAAGAAAAGAAAGAAAGGTAAAAGTGAAAGAAAAGTTAATATTAATCTAATACGAGAAATAACTAAAGATAATCAATTCTATGAGATAGAAAATATAATAAAACATAAAATAAGTGAAAGCAATGATTATATTTTTCTTGTTAAATGGAAAGGATATGGAAGCAAAGATAATTCTTGGGTAAATGAGAAAGATTTTAGCTCCAAAGATTCAATAAAAGACTACTTCATTAAACAAAATATAAAATATTAATATAAAGGAAAAGTTTAAAAATAAAAATAATCAAGTACATAAATTTATATAAATTTATTATTATACCATATGTTTAGATAGTTGATATGAAACAATTCATAATGATTGATCCTCCTTGGGGGGCTCCTGTTTTGTTTGTCCGCAAGAAGTCTGGTGAACTGCGAATGTGCATCGACTTCAGAATAATCAATTCTTTGTGCACCAAGAAGTTGAATACTCCATTACCTCGTATTGATGAGTGTTTAGAACGATTAGGTGGTGCAAGATACTTCTCTCAGTTCGATCTGACTAGTGGGTATCACCAAATTAGGCTCTCAGACTCGGATGTTCCCAAAACTTGTTTTGTAACTCGTTATGGTGCTTTTGAATGGCTTGTACTACCTTTCGGACTTCGGAACTCACCAGCAGTGTTTCAAAATATGATGAACAAATGTCTGTCTGGTTATGTTGACCGTTTCGTGCAGCTCTATTTGGACGATATTCTGGTCTACTCTAAAACAGCAAAGGAACATCTTGAACACATTCGTCTGGTCTTGGAGAGGTTCAGACAATTCAAGTTGTATGCAAACCCTAAGAAGTGCAAGTTCAATCAAAAAGAGGTTGAATTCTTGGGCATGAAAGTCTCGGCTGATGGTATTCTTCCTTCTGACACCAAGGTAAAAGCTATCAAAGACTGGCCTACACCTACCAATGTACAGGAAGTTCGTCAGTTTGTCGGTTTAGCGTCTCATTACCGAAGGTTTATCCGCCAGTTCTCCTCGGTGGCTGCTCCTCTGACGGAACTAACTAAAGGTACTGGTCCCAAACGTCGTGGTATTATTTGGAGTCAGGAATGTCAAAAGCTTTCGAGCAATTGAAATTCTTATTGACACATGCTCCTTGTTTACAGCCTCCTGATGTCTCTAAACCGTACATTATTGAAACTGATAGCTCTGACTTTGGTTGTGGTGCTGTTCTCCTGCAAAAAGATGACTCTGGTGCTCTACATCCTCTGGCGTTTGAATCCAAAAAGTTTTCTATGGCTGAACGGAACTACCCTGCACAAGAGAGGGAGCTACTTGGTGTATTACATGCTCTTCGGGTTTGGCGTTGTTTTATCGATGGTGCTGACTATGTGGTATACACGGATCATAACCCTCTTCAGTATCTGAGATCACAAGCAAAACCTACCGCTCGCTTGGTGCGTTGGCTCTCAGAAATTGAAACTTATGATCCTAAGATACTCTACAAGCCTGGTAAAATGAACGAAGTCCCGGATGCGTTGTCACGTCGCGATGGAACTGACTGTATACCTGCAGAATCAAGTATGGAACCTCGCTACTTGTATTCTGTAGACTCTAATATCTTAGTTCACCCTACCGACTGGCCCACATTCTATCTGACAAAACCAGAACTAGTCCCTGACACAGTCAAATCTATCTTAGAGTCGAATCGTGATAAGTTTGTGATAAAGCAAGACAAGGTGTATCGTCTAGTGAAGGTCAATAATCAACAGCTTGAAGCAAGATTCTGTTCTTTCTCAAATCGCGCTACCCTGGTGAATAAGTTCCATGAAGGCTTTGGTCATGCCGGTCAGCTTACGGTATTTGAACTTATGCGCAAACGTTGGTGGTGGCCTAACATGCGAACTGATATTCAAACCTGGTTATTAAGCTGTAAAGAATGTCAGTTAGCATCTAGTCCTGGCAAAAACAAACATCATGCTCCTATGGTTCCCTTGGATATTCCTCCTGCTTTTGGTCGCTGGCATCTAGATTTTGTTGGTGAATTACCTCTAACAAATCAGGGTAATAAATGGCTCCTAACGGCGGTAGACTATACCACTAATTGGCCTATTGCTCGTGCTGTCCCAGAGGCTACTGCGGAAGCTGTTGCAGACTTTATTTATGAGGAAATCGTCATGAGGTTCGGCTGCCCTCAAGAAATCCTGACTGATCGTGGTGCAAATTTCATGTCTACGGTGGTAAAGTTGTATATGAATCGTATAAAAACAAACCACAAGTTCACATCAGCTTTCCATCCGCGCACAAACGGAAAATGCGAACGACTTAATGGTATTCTCAAGGCTATGCTTAGGAAATACGTCAATGGTGCTATTCATATTTGGGACAAGTTTGTAGATACTGCTCTTTTTGCTGCTCGGGTCCGTCACCATCGTTCTACCGGTTATTCTCCCTTCTACTTGGTATATGGCCGTGAACCTTTGCTTCCTGGTGATTATACTCGTCCTTATTTCGATAAGTTGACTTCTAATGACCCAAGGACAATTGCTGAACACACTGCTCGAGAACTTGAAGATATTGGTCAAATCCGCGCCGCCGCTGCCCATCGAATGAAAATAGTATCTGAGTCTGACAAGAGACGTTGGGATGCTGCTGTCGAAAAGCTGGAATTCGAGATTGGTGATCATGTCTTACTCAGAAATGAGCAAAAGTATGGTCTGGAATACAACTGGATAGGTCCTTTTGTCATTATAGATCGAAACGAGGCCAACCATGTTTACAAACTAGAAACTATTGGTGGTGAACCTTACACTTCTTGGGTACATATCGATCGATTAAAAGGTGTCAAGGCTGATTCGATCGATACTCCTTGGTACAATCCTACGGTCTCTCGTGCTGCCTGGCGCTCTGAAATGGGTCTTGACTCAAGGAATAAGGCTACTTCTGACTCGGTTGAACAAGTTGATCAGAGGCGATCAACATTCTCGGGGGAATGATGTCGTACCCAAACTTAGGTTTAAGCCCAATGTGAAGAAAGCAGCCAGAAGACACCAGCAGGTGCTCGAAGGTTCTGGAAATTATTAGTCAGATGTTTATCTGATTATCATTACCATATCTGGCATTTCCCTTATATGGTTACGACTTCAAATACTAGAAGCTTCCACTTGAGTCACAACTCAGACATTATAGATAGTATAAATATAAGTTGCATTCAATGAAATAAACATCATCTTTCAACACAAATATTAAGTATTAGTTACACTCTATAGTAAGTTAAGCTCTACAACTTATTATACATATCTCTGGTTATACTTTACAAGTTTTATTGGCTTTGCTACTTATTGGATCTATCTACAAAGACGACAAAAAGAAAGGTGCCTTCTTGGCTCAGGTTAAAGATTATATTTTTATTAATAAACAATTTTGTGGGCTACTCTATGGAGCATAATGCCAAATTGTATGAACAGTTTTCAAAAAAAGGAGAAAAAGGAGAGAGCGAAAAAAACCTGACAGAAAACAGACAACAGGAAAAAAAAAGTAAAAGACAAAAGAAGCAGAGACAGAAAGAGTATTGTATATTTGCATGATTCCAAAGGCATGACCAACGGTTGGGAACTTTGATAATCACTTACCACCGTGGCAGCGCAGAGGAAAGACATGGCAAAAATAGTTCGTCTACGACGAGACCAGAGGAGGGAGCCAACGATCACCAGGATCTTGATCAGGACGGATATTTGCAAGAGGATGCACAAGTACATCAATTGCATAGAGTAACTGAAGCAGCGCCGACCAAAAGGGAGGAGGACCAGAGGAAGCCTTAGTTGGCAGTTGATTCAGAGCATAATCAAGACGATGAACACCAGCAGGAGCAATAGGTAGTGCATCCCATAATGCTGGGTCAAGCGCCTGACATGACAAAAAGTGTTCACGGGAGACAAAAGCACCAGAGAGACAAGGACATTCTTCACGCATGTTTGCAAAGCGACCAAGACGCCAACGCACCAAGCGACTACGAGAAGTACGAAGCATGGGCAGGTAAAGAATTGGATCCGGCTTAGACGTACAAGGACGACAAGCACGGAGAAGGACGGAACGACCACGAGCCGCATGTCGCACCATCTGGCGGTCAAATTGGCTCTGCCATTGTCGTCTAAAGTGAGTACGAAGTTCAGCATTAGAGACAGGCTGTGGGTCCGGTAGTGAACGGTACAAGACATTCTGTTGAAGAAGCTTGACCAGGCGAGGGTACCGTAGTTGATCACGCAAAAGCACTATCAAGCAGTCATCAGGGAGGTATTGTACACGCAAAGCGAATTTGGTGACAAGGATGTTGTACCTATGATTCATGGCAGGAAGACAGGTGAGGTGTTTTGCAACTTGAAACCAAGAGCCACCAACAAACATACGGACCAGGCGATTCTGCAAATCATCTAGGTGTGTCATGTCTGCCGAAGCAAGACGGGATATAGCCAAACCATACTCTATCTTGGGACGAATAAAGCAGGCATACAGCCGAGAGGACAAAAGAAGGGAGAAACCATTGCGATGAACACCGACAGAGGTTAGCAGAGCCATGGTCTTGATGGCCTTAGCAGATCTCAAAGAGATAATGCCAGGTCCATGGATGCCTTTTTCTCGAAAAGGTACACCAAGATAGATGAACTCGTCCACGAGGGGCAGAGATTCGCCATACAATGTCAATCGAGGGCCATCACAAGGTGAGTTTAGAACTGCACACTTGGCCGGACTCCAACGATATCCAAGGGAGCAAGAATGCTCAGCAGCAAGGTTCAACATATGCTGGACTTGACTACGAGAGCCGAAGATCGCAACATCATCCGCAAAAAGAAGACAATTCAGAGGAATTGCATCAGACATACCAGGAGGACATACCAAAGTAGTACCAGCCGTAGCAGCAGAACGAAGGAGAGAAGGAAGAGAGTTGATGTACAAAGAGTACAAGTGCGGAGAGAGAACAGAACCTTGCAGAACACCCGTGACAGGCTGGAAGGGAGTAGAAGAGTGGTTGGCTATCAGCACAGATACTTGTACGTCGTCAAACAAGTTGACTAGTAAAGCAAGCACAGGCCGAGGTAGAGAGGAGCGAGCCAGTACATCCCAGATGACACGTCTGTCGACAGTATCATAAGCAGCCTTGATGTCAAGAAAAGCAACAACAGGACGGCGACGGTTGGTTAGAAAGTAATCATGCATCAAGTCATGCAAGCATAGAGCTTGATCCAGAGGACTACGTTGAGGACGGAAACCACCTTGCGC